AACAGCTCAGAACACTAACGCGTCGAGAGGCGGGGAGTGAATCCTAACGGTTTATATTTATATATTTCTAGTCTAGTACTACAACGCAGAATAGAAAAAATTTGAAAATATGGAGGGAAGCTTATGCCTAGTACTCGATAAAACTAACTGAATGATGATAACAGTTAAAGAAGACTCCTATATAAAAATGCAGAAGGTATTGAGCTCCCTAACCAGAAAAAAACGATTGGAGATGACAACCCATTGAGGTAATATTGTAAAAAGTGGAAAACAAGAATAATGTTTAACTACTGTATAAAAAACATGTCCCTTTTGTAAAAACATCTAAACCAATTAAAAAAGACTAAAAAAGACCCTACAACTAACAACTCTTTCCAAATAGGACGCCCCGCAGGCTAAATAAGAGCTACCGGTCCCTACAATATCAGGACAGAAATCAACAATATAGGACGTTTTGAGTATTATTACAGAAAACACCAAAACAATTGAGGTATCGTGGTAATACATAAAAGTAGTAGTAAGACTTTTTAATTCAATATATAACACCGGAGTGATTCCCGCAGATTGGCTGAAATCCCTCTTTGTCGCAATACCTAAAAAACACAATGCGAGAAAATGCTCAGAATATCGATTAATTAGCCTAATGAGCCACACTTAAAATTTTCCTCAGAATACTTCACAACAGAATTAATCGCAAATGCGAAGAAGATCTTGAAGATACCCAATTTGGTTTTAGAAATGCTGTGGGAACCAAGGAGGCACTTTTTGCGCTTAACATCCTATTACGAAAATGCCGTGACCAAAGAAAATATGTATTTGCACGTTTCGCGGACTTCGAAAAGGCATTCGTTAAAGTACAGCATGTAGAATTAATGCAAATACTGAAACATATCGGAATAGATGACAAGGATATTCGTATCATTAAAAATTTGTACTGGAATCAAACTGCTATCGGAAAAATTGGAGATAACTACACCGATGAAATCTCTATATAACGAAGAGTCAGACAAGATTGCATTTTGTCGCCAACATTGTTCAATGTTTACTCGGACCAGTTATTTAAAAAGGCACTTAAGAGACATTCCTTATATGGAATAAAAATCAAAGGGGAACTACTTAATGTGATTAAATATGCAGACGATACAGTAATTCTATCAGATAATATTGAAGGTCTTCAAATTCTGCTTGATCGTATTCACGAGGTAGGAGAGGAAATGGGGATTAAAATAAACTCAAACAAAACCAAATTTTTAGTGTTTAGTCGTGACCCACATCCCGATGCAAAGCTTCAATTTAACGGAGTCCAAGTTGAGAAAGTTCACAAAATGACATATTTGGGAACTGTGATAACGGACCAACTAGATCCAGACATAGAAATAAAACGTAGAATAGCAATGACTAAAACTACTTTTAGTGGACAGATCACACAACAGATGCCGAAGTATTAAATCGAATGGGCAGAGAACAAGAATTACTGTCAATAATAAAAATAAGAAAAACTGCTTATCTGGGTCATATATTTCGAAATTCCAAGTACCAGTTCTTTAAGCTTATTATGGAAGGGAAGATAGAAGGAAAACAAGGCATCGGAAGAAAGAAATACTCATGGCTTAAAAACATAAGGGATTGGACAAATCTCGATGCCCATACACTTTTTAGAGCCACACAAGATCGAGAGAATTGTCGCCAATATCCACTAATTGGATAGGGCACCATAAGAAGAAGAAAACTACTTTATGAAAAGGAAGTCATTTCTTTGCAATAACCATCTCAGTTTAGAACTAAGACAAAGAATGGTTAAGTGCTATGTTTGGTCCGTACTTTTGTATAGTGCAGAAGTGTGGGCGCTAAAAGTATCGATCATGAACAAAATTGAAGCATTGGAAATGTGGGTTCATAGACGAATGCTAAGATACCTTGGACAGCAAGGAAAATTAATGAAGAAGTACTAAGGAGAGTCAACAAAGATAGAGAACTGCTAAAGTCTGTTAAACATCGAAAAATGTCTTATCTGGGACATATAGTAAGGGGAAGTCGATATAAAATATTACAACTGATCCTTAAAGGCAAAATAGAGGGCCGTAGAGGTGTAGGAAGAAAACAAGTTTCTTGGTTAAAAAACATTCGTGAATGGACTCAGATACCTAAAGCGGGACAATTATTCCATATTGATATCGCCAACGTCGGATAATTCTGATATGGCACGCGAAGAAGAAGGTAATACATCACAGATTTTAGAATTCTTAGAAAATAAAAAAGGAGTAAAAGGTTAAAGAACTCCTTACATCCAAACATGTGTTCGTATAAAGAACTTAGGATAGAGCACTGGGCAATCCTTGCCTCTAAGCCGGTCTCTGATGAAGGAGAGGGAATACATGTGAGTCTCCAGGTCGACACGGAGTTTAAAGAAGGCCATTCCCTACAAACTCCGTGCTAGTTTTATATCTATCTATCTAATTAGCCTTTTTCGGTCCATCTTTGGACATAGGCCTCCCAATCCTTTTCCATTCTTCTGTCTGTCGCTACAGTTCACCTAGAGCCCACGTGCTTCTTGATATCATATGCCCATCTCATTTGGGCCTTCCTCTGCTTCGTTTATATTCCTACGTTCTCCAACTTATAAGAATTTTGTTCCATGGGTCTTCTTTTTGTCTTATATTGTGTCCGGCAAATCTCCATTTCAATTTTGCAACTTCTTGTCTAACATCCCTCACTTTTGTTTTCTCTCTTATCCACTCGTTTCTTTTTTATCCGTTCTTTTATCGTTATTAGTCTTATGTGCAACATTTGTCTTTCCATTCCTCTTTGGGTTTTTATGATTTTGTCCATGTCTGCTTTTGTAAATGTCACGTTTGGGAACCATAAGTAAAACAAGGAGTACGCATTAATTGTATACTTTGGTCTTATCTACTTCATCTTGTCCGATTCTCATTGTAATGTCTTCATCTGTATTTGTTATGGTTTTGGTCTTGCTGTAATTCATATTAAGGCCTATCTTTCCAGCTTTTACGTCCAGTTCTTTCATCATTTCAAATAATTATTTTTTTTTATCAGTAATCAATACGATATCATCAGCGTACCTTAGATATTTCAAGCGTTGTCCACAAATGTTTATACCTTGTTCTTCCCATTCTAATCTTTTAAAAGTATCTTCAAGAGCCTGATTGAAGAGTTTCGGTGATATTGTATCACCCTGTCTCACACCTCTATTTATTTGTATTGATTTTGTTCTTCATAAACTTTAATTGTTGTTTTGGCTTCCTATATATATATTGGCTATTAGTTCCGTATATCTGTGGTCAATTCTGCTGTTAATCAAAGAACTTTTCACTGCCCAATGTTCGACTCTGTCGAAAGCCTTTTCGAAATCTATGAACGCCATATATAGAGGAATGTGGTATTCATTTGCTCGTTCTATAAGTATTTTCATACTTAGTAAATGGTCACTTGTGCTGAATCCCTTTCTAAAACCAGCTTGTTCTTTCGACTGGTATCCGTCGAATTTTGTCGTCAATCTATTGGTTAAAATTTTTGTTAAGAGTTTATACATTATGTTGAGGAGTGTTACAGGACGGTAGTTTTTATATCTGCTTTATCCTTTCTTGTGTAGGATAATGGTTACTGATTCCTTCCAGTTGTTTGGGATTCTTTTTTCTTTTAATATATTGTTAAAAGGGGATGTAGAGTATTAATTACCACTTTTCCACCATATTTCAGCATCTCTGCAGTTATTCATCTTTTCCAGGCGATTTGTTGTTTTTCATTTCTTTCAATGCCTTCTTTATTTCTGATTTGCTTATTTCTGGCTGTAGTCTGAGTTGACATTTTTTATTTTAACCTTAAGTTGGTTTTTAATTTCTTCTGGTGGTTCCTTTTTTGTTTTATATAATTCTGAGTAGAAATGGTGGATTATATTTATGATGTCATCTTTACCGTTTGTTTCTACTCCATTTACATCTTTTATTTTGTTTATTTCAAACTTATCTAATTTCGGCCTTAAGTATTTCATATTTTTGTTCTGTATTACTTCTTCTATTTTTATTTCTTGTTCTTTTCTTTATTTTCTTTTATCATTCTGCTTATTGTTTTATTGATTTCTACATATTCTATAGATTTCCTTTTGCCTCGTTCAGCTTCCTTCTTTTTCCATAGCTTCTTTGTTTCTGTTGATATATAGTTGTTTTTTTTAGATCCCTTTTTGCTATTTCTTTTCTGATGTAATCATTGTTGCTGTAATTATGTTGTCTATTTCGTTATATCTTTATCATCACTGTCTAATTTTTGGGTAAGTTGTTTTTTTAATAGGTCTTTGTATATCTCTTTATATTGCCCTAGTTTGTTTCTATCTACTAGTTCCAGTTTCTACTTATTTTTCTTTTCATCTCATAGTTACCGTCATATTAATACTATTTTTGCTCTGACCATCTGTGATCGCTACTGTTGTGAATCTGTTAAGAACTGTTACATCTTTAATGATATATCGTTCCGTGGACAGTATGAAGTCGATCTCATTTTTTGTGGATCCATTAGGGCTGATCCATGTCCACTTTCATTGGGGCTTCTTTTTGTAAAAGAAGTTCATTGCGTATAGATAGTTTTATATAGTTAGATTAAAATAAATTTAAGTAGGCCACTTTCCTAAGAAACCAAAGCCTGTGACAATCACGTTGTTAGGAAACTGAAAGGAAATCACATGGATTGAACATCACGGGGCCAAATATTAGGAATGCTGGCACATTATGAGCGTAACAAATACTAAACTTGGAACATGTATCTGTTGTATCTCTACCCTGTATAGCCAAGATAAATAATTACACTCTTGATGAGAAAGCTGATCTTATCTTATCTAGAGTATAAGACTTTTTTGTTGAGTTTAATGAAAGTGCTAGGTTTGGTTCAGAGGTCACAGCCAAATACCAGGTACAAATTGCCTAAGATAATAAGAAGAGATAATGTAGGACGGAATATTTAAGTCGATCATCTACAAAGACATACAAAAATACTAAAAAAATATTTTCTTATTTATTTATTAATTTTAAGTAACAAAATTAAATTAAGAAGTTAAAAATGTAATCTCACTCCCTGTGCACCAGCACATATAGTCCTAAACAGGCCAATACAGCATACTGAAACAGAAAAGGATATTTTTAATTATAATTTAAAATCTAATGTAACAAAATCAACAATATATAACAAAAAATTTAATTTGAAACTTTCTAATTTTGGGAAAGTTTTTAATTGTTTGTGTTTCATATTATATTATTTGTCTTGTACTGGTTTTGATGAGAAATATTTATTGATTTTAACACCAAATAAACACTGATTAGTCAGCAATGAATTCATTTTAATTGCAGTGTAATATGACTTCTCTATGATGAAATAATCAGATAAAAGTTGAGAAGTGTGGTAATTTAATGGACATTATTAACATAAAAGCCCATATAAAATATAAAAATCTAACAACAAATATGTTTAATAATCTGTTTCCTCCATCAGCATTAATTACAGCTTGACACCGCCTTGGCATGAATGAAAACATTATGAAACCATCTCTTACTATTCCTGCAGTATGTGGCATTGCATTATCCTGCAACACAAATCAGAGCCTACAGCAGTGGCAAATAGAAGGAAAACAGGTTCTAAGATATGATCGATATATTGGCATTGGGTCAAAGTGCCTCCCACGAAAAAGGGAACAATTCGATGATGAAAAATTATTACACCATACATCATAACTTCGCTATATAGATGAACACCCTGTATATGCCTGAGTCTCTCTTGTCGACCAGGTCCTCTCCAAACGCTCAGCCTTCTTGAATCGGGGTAGAGACAAAATCTAGCTTCATCTGTGAATAACACAGAACTGCATTCTTGTAAGCCCTGATGTACATGTTGTGCCCACCTTAATATTTTCTTTCTATTTCACCACAATTTCCATCACATAACATGAGAAACCTTAATGGATGTCTGGAGTGCAGGCCAGCTTGATTTAACCCTCAAAGTTTTCTATTCCTCAAAGTTTGGTCAAAAACAGTAATGTTGTAGATATGTTCTAAGCCCCACAGAGTTTACATGTAGTTATATGCACATTTCGATGAACTAATCATACCACATACCATTGCTGTCTAGGAATAGTTGCATGTTGATGATCTCCATGTCTTTCAATGACATTACCAAAATATTCATATATATGCCAAAGTTGCGAAGTCACACTCCTGGAAAACCAGCCTCAATCATATTCACAACACTTACCATTTGAATATGTGTTCAATGCGATGCTTCATGACTATTGTGGCAATTATTATTCTTATTTTAGTATAATTTAAAAAAAAATACAGAATATCTTTAAAATTCGACAAAATTTTCTTTAAAATCTGAAGCAAGTAATTGTATGAATTTGAGGCATTGTCACTTTTGCCTTAGTAAAACAGTGCAATTGACAGAATAATTTTCATGGCATACCTTGATTTGTAGAGAACAAGTTTTCAAATCGAATGGTATGTATTACCAAAAGAGTGTTGTTGTTTTTAATAATAGTCGTGTTCCTTATACATTTTTCATGTATGTAGTTTTGTTACCAAATAGTATACATTAAAAATGTCATAACACTGGTGTTTCTGATCCATTTATTCCCAATTCACACCGTGAGGTACAATTTTTATTTTATATGAAAAATTCACTAAAATATGATTTGTTACCCAAACTAGCTTTTATAAACCTTATAATTCATAAATATTCAGAACAACTAACTCCTGCTGATAGCTTGGTATTTTTCTGCTGTAGAAGAAAAAAGTATACTAACAAATAAATGAAGAACCAACTATTTTAAAATATGTGATTAGTTGTATAACTCAGTAAGACCCTTGTCAATATAAACCAAAACCAAACAGTACAATGACTACCAATTAAAAGATGAAACATTATACAACTAAAAATAGGTAAGCACATGAAGAAAAATAAAAGCTTTTGAATTAAAAATCTTACAAGTAAATAAAAGGAAAAGAGCACTAGATGATAAAGAAATGAGGGGTGGTAGAAAGAATGCCAAACAAAAGGACAAAACCCAGAATTTACCCTTGATACAAGAAGGGAAATAAAATAAATTGTGAAAACTGTACAGATATTGGACTTCCTAATACTGCGTAAGCAATCGAGGGTCATTGAATAAAAACAGGATTTATATTAATTGCAATATAACCATTGAGCAACAAGACAGAAGAGGGTATTGAATTGTTATGAAAGGGAGACCAAAAAAGTGGCCTCTAATGGCGGACATATCCAGAAATGCGAATGCACCAAATTTAAATTTTATGACACTTCACAATAATCATAGAGTGGTGTAGGAATGCTAATTTACCTATTTATTTATTTTATATAATACAGTAAAACCTCAAGTTAACGGACTTTGGATATAACGGACAAATTGGCTCGTTAAACTTCAATGGAAGAAGCAATCTTAAAATAGTATTGCCGACAACATTCTAATGGGATTCATATGGACATACCGTTCAGAGCAAGTGATGGATGGCTCTGGCGCTTTCGGGAAAAGCAATGAATCGTGAATAAAAGAATAGATTTAGAAGGGTTGAAAGTTACTGATTTTTGTAGGACAATACATAATAATGCCAAAGAACATGTAGCTGAGGAAGACGTTTTACAATGACTAGAAGTAGATGAAGGTAACCCTGGGTATAACATCATGACTTAAAGTGAAATAGCAGATGAAAATATGAACCTAAAAAATGATGATGGAAATGAAGATAGCGAACAAGACGACAAAACAAGACTGTTAAAAATGAATCGTAAGATCGCATCTTGATGATCTAATAAATTGATTATTCATGAAATCCTTAAACTGTATTCTACGCATTTTCGTAATTTTAGGCATTTGATCATAAAAAAAAAACAGCAAACATCGAAAGTGAAACAAAACAGGATTACCGACAGCAAGTGTGTCAATGTCCACAGCAATGTCACTTCACAACAAACGCCTGAAGACAATTAAATAGAATTTTGTTTGTATTTTGTATCATCTGTATTATCTAAATACAGTGTACATACATTTTCATTTTCAAAAAAAGCATTTTGATGTATTTTAAACATATTTTTATATAACAGACTTCTGTCTTTAACGGACACCCCATCCCCCAAGTAGTCCATTATATCGAGGTTTTACTGTATAATATTAATATTAAATAATAATACATAATAGTAATAGTACATAATACACTTCTGCGATATTGTTTAGTATATTCCTAGAGACAGGAATAAATATGCCATGTAAAATTAGATGCAGTTACATATGTAATAGAAAACAATAACAAAGTAATTCTTACAATAAGCCAAACAACTTGAAATAATGAGAAAACAATAACAAAGTAATTATTACATTAAGCCAAACAACTTGAAATAATGAAAAATTCAAATATAAAGAAATAAAGGTTCATTTAAACAAAAGTTAAAGTTTAAAAATTTAAAAACAGCTACTAAGAAGGAAGAATGGTGCCCTGGAGTTTGCTAAGTTAATTGATTTAGATATTGATGGGAAAAGAAAACAAGTAAAAGCTGCAGGTGGCTTCCATTAAGTTTAAACACAATAGGGGCTTTTTATAGAAATGTACATGTTGGATCTTCAGTTTAGCTTAAAAAAGGAAAAATTTTGTTTCTACTACAATTATCAATTACTCAACTATTACAAAAAATTGTAACAGTTGAGTAATTAATTAAAGTAACAACTGTTACTCAATTTTTACTATCCATTGTTGTTTAAAACATATCTAAACAGTAATGTGATAGATTATAAAACTTAATAAATAGAAAATAAAGATTATTATACCTTAAACTTGGGGTATTCATTCATTAATATAGTAACCATCCCTACATAAGGCAAAAATCCCCTTGCTCTGCCGACTACATCATCTTTGGTTAACCACAATTGTCCAGGAGCATACAGACCTCTATCATCCACACTATTATTGTCTCCTTTCGTCAGGAACTTTACAGTACCGTTTTTCCTAAAAAAAAAAGTGCTCAAGTGATATTGTAGATAAGAGTAGAAAATTATGAAATTTATTAATAACCTTTAAACAATCTAGCAGACACAGAATACTTTTGTATATGAAAGAAATATTCATTATTTAACTTAAATGCAAATAGCATTAAATAGAAAAAACGCCTCTTGTTTTTTGTAATTATTCTATGTTTTTACTGATATTCTACACTTTAAGGATAACTTACTTTTCATGGAGCTTTAGCACACGATGCACAATAGGAATATCTCTACCCTCTACTTTAAAGACCACAATTTCTCCTACCCGAACAGGCTCTTCAGGGTAATTGGTTAAGAATAATAGATCTCCTCTGTGGAATGCCGGCTCCATACTGCCAGATAATACTACAACTATGGGGCTTTCGCTGCCAGTTACCACCATCAGTCCTTTCCATATCATTAATGCCGAGGAGACTATCATACCGAAACTAAGCACTTGGTAAATGAACTAAAAAAATAAGTTATTAATTATTTATATATTGTGAATTGGAAATAGACTCACCTGGCGTTTGTTCATCCGCCTCAAATCTTCGAATACGTTTAAAGACTCCATAATTGTTCCTAAATTTGTAGTAAATACTTTGCAGCTGGTATTCCACGTCAGAAAACAAAACCAAGTAATCAGAGAGATGTGTTTGAGGTTAGGACGGTTATCATATCGATTATTTTGACAGCCAACTGACAGTAGGATAAAAAAATACAACCAATAGAAAAACGACTCGTTTCACGTGTTTGTATACTTGGTTGTATAAATTGTGGCGCTATGCAAATTTAAAAAATAGCATCAAGGGATGAATTTTTACTTATATTGATTGAATGCAAATAAAAATGCAATTATTTTATATTTATTTATTTCTTAAATAATTTTATACTGTAAAATTATTACAATAGCTAGCTTATTTATCTTCAAATTCAAATAACTTGAAATATGTCTAATAAAACTTATATATAATAATTTTAGTCACTTTCAGATCCAGACCCCGATTCTGAGCCCGATCCTGATCGTGATCCTGATCTGGACCTTGATCCCGATTTGGAAGAAGCTTTGGAAGACGATCTAGATCTAGAAGCAGATTTGGAACCTGATCTAGACCTGGATCTGGACCTTGACTTTGATTTGGAAGGTGACCTGGATCTGGAGCCAGAAGGTGATCTAGAGCCTGAAGCAGATCTGGATCTCGACTTTGACTTAGAACGAGACCTTGATCTTGATCTCGAAGGCGATTTGGATTGAGATTTCGATCTGGAACGGGATTTAGACTTAGATTTAGATCGGGAACGGGATTTAGATTTAGACTTTGATTTTGAAGGGGATCTGGACTTGGAGCGGGATTTAGATCTCGATCGTGATCTTGAACGTGATCTGGAACGAGATTTAGACCTAGATCTGGATCTAGATTGAGACTTAGACTTAGATCTTGATTTTGATCTGGACTTGGATCTTGATTTTGACCTAGATCTGCTTCTGTTAGACGAGTTTGATCTAGATCTAGAGCGGGATGGTGATTTCTCCCCCTTTTCTTGTTCTTGTTCTTCTTGAGTAGCTTCTTCTTCTTGTGGTTCATCTACCTCCATTTCCTCATCATCTTCACCTACCAAATAAAATGTTTGCATTAGAAACAATAAAATATACATATTGGATATATTTATATAAAAATAAAAGTACCTGGTGGTTCCAGCTGTTTCTCTCGGTACCTCTGCATTCGGAACTCATTAGCATCCATAGGTCTATGTTTGACAATAAGCCTTGTGTTACTAGGTGGAGCACCAGCTTTGACCCTTCTCTTACTCAGCCTTACTCTGGTCTCCAGTTCATTGTAGTAAATTCCATCTGACCGTGCCACAAAGAAGTAGTTTTCTTCATATCCTTTGCTTGCCTTGCTCTTTACATTCCAGTTGTACTCTCTTGCCATCTTATATTCATATTCCTCATCATCTTGATATGGTATCTGGTTGACAAAATCATCTCTTCGTTTCTGAAGAGTGTCTTCTGTGGGCAAAAAGTAGGCAACAAATTGTTCTCCACTTTCGTCCATCACACCTCTGTAATTAAAAAGATTAATTAGTTGATGATATTACTTATTGTCTAATGGAAATAAAAAATACTGCTAAATGTTTTGTATGAAACTACTGTTTTATATTGGCATTTTGTTTATTATATCTGTAATTTCATTTATCATGTGACTAAGTTAAATATTACATGTATATGGGAGTAAGCTGCAATGATTACGTTACATTTTATAGTTGTTATTTGGCATTTCGATTTCCACTCTGGAAATCATTTTCAAAAAAGATTATTTTACAATGGTGAGCTGTTATTATAACCCATAGTTGTTTACAACCCCCAAACAACTATGAATTCTAATAACATTATACTGTATATAGGAAGAGAATTTATGTAATATTGCACTGTGCAAGAGAAAAATAGGGCTTTTGAACTGAAAAGGATCTATACATGTATATCTAGTAGCGAGAGGAGGGCCACTTAATTCTAAGGTAGATTATAGGCTAGTATGAGAATGTAAAAGACACCAATAGACTGGTGAAACCTAACAGCATTGCACTGATGACTGCGAAGCATGAGATCACATTAGAGAAACACTTTTTGTACACTACTTAGAGACTCCCAAACACAAGTATGATACTCATTAACTAAACATATACAAGCTGGTACCAGGGTTCTAGGATTCTGGAGTGGGTATTATGATTGAAAGGAAGATGTATAATAAGCCAATTAGCTTCTGTATAACCAGTTTATAGTTGGAAAGATAGCCAAGCCAGCTGGGGGGCCCGATTCTCATTCCCTTCACTGCAAGTGGTTCAGCTGATGTGAGTCCGATCCCCAGCTCAGGGTAAGAAAACAAAAATGCTAATGCAGTATCTACCTATCTCATTGATAACCAAATAATAGGTGGTAGAATAATATGTACTGGATAAATTTCAAAATTTGGTTTAGTACATACAAAAAATTACTTTACCTGATCATAGCTTGAGACATCTCTTCAATCTGAGCTGGTACTTGCTTGCCAACAGGAGCTGGATCAGAATCAAAAATAACTTGGGCACAAGGGTACTTCCAAAGGCTGAAATCTGGATAAACAGGCAAAATATCCACAGCTACCACATTAGGTTTGCTGTAATGCTTCTCAATGACATTCTTAGAATCCTCAAAGGTCTTTTCAATAGCCTTAATCTGAGAGTCTCTGTCCATGTACAATGTTTCATTGTTAAGGGACTTCTTAATACTATAACCAACCTTAGCTTCAACTTTGTCCATAGTCTGAGGCTGAAATCTAGTCTGTTCTGTTGAAATGTACTCGGTTCTTCGCAACCAGGACACTGACTTGGCATGATGGCGAGATCTTTTTGAGTCTTGCGGTGTTAGAATGTCTTCTTCTAGTAATTTTTCATCAGCAGGATCTAATGTAGCTCCTGGTTCAATAGCATATATATCTTTGTTTATAAGATCAATACTAACACCTAAGTCATGTTCCGTTAACACTTCATATTTGTAATTACGCTCTAGAGATGTTGGGTTGTATTGAATAAATCTAAAATATGGATTTGTGTATAAGTGAATGTATATTTGTTAAATACAGTAAGCACCTTACCTTATGGGTTCAAAAGGATATGCTATAAACTTCAAATCGAAAGGAATATCGGGTAAAGTATTACAGTACTTCACTTTGCATATTAAATCTGACCTAAAACCAAAATATTTGCTTTAAAAGGAATTTAAGGAATGGTAAATAAAATGTTACCTTTTTTCTACAGTTTTTACTGGTCTCTTTTCAACGCCATTGGCTGTCCCGTTCTGGTTATTTTGCTGGATTGTAGGAGGCATTTTCGAAATTACAAAACACTCTTTAACATTTTACAAAAATAAAGCAATAAATATAAATTCTTGCACATACATAACTGCGCAAACGGCGAAACGTACAAAATGCAAATGTCAATGTCAAACTGGTACAGACAGGTGAAAGCAGAGATGAAAAGCAAGCAATGCAGCCACCATATTTTTGATTTTTGGTAATTCCACAAAAAAGAAAATTTTGTTCTTTTACTGCGGTTATTCAATGACTAGGGTAAATGTAGGAAATAATTTCAAATATATAATTATTGAATAAAATACTATTAGCTTTTCAATGATACGCATAATTATGTCATTAAGAAACCTCGACTCCGAGTGACATGTGTGTTCCAGTGGAAAAGTGGGACCCACATGTCGGAAGATGAATTCGGTCACATTCCGTAATGGAGTGGTATCTATTTGACCCCCAAGCTATAACCATCCACCCCTCCCCATCGCAGGACATAACGAATGAGGAGGTTTTGTACTGAAAGTTACTTTTGATGCCCTGATTTTAGGGGTAGCTAGAAGAGCTTTTCTCCCTATGAATGACCGAAGTTAATTTTTACATGACTGGACTTGTGTCCCAAAATGTGTGTTCTGGATAGCGAGAATGGTTCGCTGAATTGGCAAAATAATTTTTGTTCTCCTCGTCGGCTAAGCGCCTGATGGGTCTGGCCATCGATCCCGCGTTTCTCGGTACGTGACTTCGCTACGTTAACGGTATTAGGTGCCCGAAGAGTCTTTTACCTGAACGGCTTTTCTGCCCGCGCATTCACTCTCACTCTACTTTTTTGTATTGTATTGGTGCTGCAATGACTGCTGTAACAGAAGGTTATTGGTATTAAAAATAAAAATAACTAAATAAAAAAAAATAGAACTGGGTCTTCTGTTACTGTCTGGGTCGCTTATGTACTGTCCTCTGGTTTTCGTCATAATCTGCCAACTCTCTTAATAGTCTACTCGGATGGTTCTTGAGGTTGAAAATCATCTAGCTGTGCTTTCTCGTGCATTGTTCTCAGAATTCTCTTTTGTTTTGTACCTTAATGGAACGTACTTTGGTATATTCAGAGCCTCTCTGATAATATGGTTCTGGACTATTTGTATTTTGTTTTTGTTGAATTTGTGTGTTCCCATGCGACCGAGGCGTATGTTGGTGTAGGTAAAATTATACAGTTTGCTATTCTAATCTTTGTTTTGAATCTCTTCCGACTTATTAACAATGAGACTAATGAGAGTTGACTTCTAATTATTTTAGCTTTCTAGACCGTTTGTTTCATGTGTTCTGTGAAGGTCAGTTTTTGTCCAACGTTACGCCTACATATTTGGCTCGATTTTACCATTCGATTTGCGTATGATACGTATTACGTTTTTATGGGATTAAGCCACAATTATTGGTTGTGATTGTGATGAAAATTACATTTTTAATGACCTAATATTTGACGTTTCGATTTCCGGAGTCAGATCAAAAATAAGAAATCAAACAACTCAAAATTTAGCAGAGGCCCTGGACCAGATAAAGTTCACTTTGGGCTGATTAAAACTATAGATGAAGACAAGTTCTTCTTCTTCTTCACGTGCCATCTCCGCGACGGAGGTTGACAATCATCATGGCTATTCTGATCTTAGATGCAGCTGCTCTGAATAGTTCAATTGATGTGCATCCGTACCATTCCCTTAAGTTACGCAACCATGAGATTCTTCTTCTTCCTACACTTCTCTTGCCCTGTATTTTCCCTTGTATAATCAATTGAAGTAGGTTGTATCTCTCATTACGCATAACATGCCCCAGGTATTGCAGCTTTCGTGTCTTGATGGTTTCCAATACTTCCATTCTTTTGTTGATTCTTGTCATGACTTCGTTGTTTGTCACATGTTCGGTCCATGATGTCCTCATGATTCGTCTATATACCCACATTTCAAATGCTTCCGACTTTTTAGCAGTCGACGCGTTAAGTGTCCATGCTTCCATCCCATAAGCAGAGTCGAGAAAATATAACACCTTGCCAGCCTAACTCTCAAGTCCAATTTTAGTTCTCTTGCACAAAGTACCTTTCTCTTTGATTGAAGTTTGTACATGCTTTCTCTATTCAAACTTTAATTTCTTTGAAGTAATCGTTTGTGTGATTAATTATTGTGCCAAGATAGTGGTAGTTTTCAACTTGTTCTAAAGCAGTACCGTTAATTGTCAGGCTTTCACCATTATTTTGGGTTTTCGATATCCTCATAAATTTGGTTTTCTTGGTGTTTATTGACAATCCATATTCTTCTCCATACTCAACTATCTTGTTCATTAGCTTTTGGAGGTCTTGGAGGTTGTCTTCTATTATGATAGTATCGTCCGCATATCTAATGTTGTTAATTGGTGTTCCATTGACCTTGATTCCTGTTGTTTCTCCCTCAAGAGCTCTTTAAGACAAGTTAAGCGCAATAACTATCCTCTTTAACAATATATACAAATCTGTTGAGATACCTACATAATGGCTACTATAGAACTTTGTTCCGCTACAAAAAAACCAAGAGTCATAAACACTGTAATGACTATAGATTAATCAGCTTAATGCCACAACCATTGAAAACATTTTTTAAGGTTATACATGCAAGAAGTGGCACAGAAAGCAAAATCCTACACAACGGCATAACATCTGACCCAATAGCTATGCTAAATGGAGTAAAGCAGGGCTGTGTTTTATCCCCCATACTATTTAACATTGTACTGGACTCCGTACTAACAAAGGTAAACTCTAATAGAGGAATTTACTGGGGATTAACAAACAGACTGGAAGACCTAGATTACGCTGATGATATATGCCTCCTAGCACATACAAAACAGGACATGCAACTCCAAGTTAACAAAGTACAAGAAGAATCAAAGAAGGTTGGTCTAGAAATAAACACCAACAAAACCAAAGAAATGCGATTTGGTACCAGAAACAACCAACCTATTATGATCAACGACCAGAAAATTGAGAGAGTAGCGGAATTTGTATATCTGGGCAGCATAATTGACTGTAATGGGGGTACAGAGCGTGATGTACATGAAAGAATAAATAAGGCTCGCAACGCCTACAACATGCTTAACAACATATGGAAATCCAGTATTTACTCAACTAAAACGAAATTAAAAATCTTCAACACAAATGTAAAAGCTATATTACTGTATGGCTGCGAAACGTGGAAGATATCAGCACCCATAGTACACCAATTACAAGTTTTCATCAATAGAGCGTTACGAAAAATCCTTCGTATATTTTGGCCTAACCGAATCTCCAATGAAAATTTATGGAACCAAAGCAACCAAGAAAATGTCATAAAGCAAATAAGGCGAATAAAATGGAGATGGCTGGGCCACACACTCCGTAGACCGCCAAATGACATTGCCAGGACAGCGCTGGATTGGAATCCCCAAGGCCGACGGAAAGTAGGCAGACCTAAGGAAACTTGGAGAAGGACAGTACTGGACGAAGGGAGAAAAATGGGAAAATCCTGGCTTGAAATCAAAGCACTAGCCAGAAATAGAGTTCGCTGGAGACACTTTGTGGAAGCCTTATGTTCCTCTTAGGAATCTTGGGACTATATATATATATATATATACATATATATATATATATATATATTATATATATATATATATATATATATATATTATATATATATATATATATATATATATATATATATATATATATATAACTATATATATGCAAGAATATTCAGAAAGTGTGGCAGCTGCAAACGAGTAATAGACAGTTTGGCTTTTGCAATAGCTTCGGAATAGTAGAAACTCTGTTTAGTTTCACAATTCTTGTTCAAAAATGTCGAGACCAACAAAGAGATCTTTTCTTTGCATTTGTAGACTATGAGAAAGCTTTCAACATAATATTCTCATGGAATATCTAAAGCGACAAGGCGACAGACAAAACTCGACAAAAATGTTATTAACATACTGAGAAATCTCTATTGAAACCAACAGGCTGTGGTAACATTAGATGGAAATAGCTCGGATTCTCAACAGATAAGTAGAGGTGTGATACAAGACTGTGTACTTTCACCATTACTATTTAATATATACTCAGAAGAATTATTTACACAAGTGCTTTGAAAACTTTTCCAGAAGAAGAGATTCATTTTTTTTATCAATCTTCTTTTTTTCGCGTGCCATATCAGATTTATCCGACGTTGGCAATCAGCACTGCGAAGGTTTCTCGATTTTCTGCAATATGGAATAATTGTCCTGCATTTGATATCTAAGTCCATTCACCAATGTTTTTTAACCAAGAAACTTGTCTTTAAGGATCACTTGTAATATTTTATATCGACTTCGCCTTACTATATGTCCCAGATAAGATATTTTTCAATGATTACGTCTTTAGCAGTTCTCTATCTTTGTTGACGCTCCTTAGTACCTACTTCTTCATTAGTTTTCCTTGCTGTCCAAGGTATCTTCAGCATTTGTCTATGAACCCACATTGCCAATGCTTCAATTTTGTTCATGATCGATAGTTTTACCGTCCACACTTATGCACTATACAAAAGTACGGACCAAACATAGCACTTAACCATTCTTTGTCTTAGTTCTAAACTGAGATGATTATTGCAAAGAAATAACTTCATTTTCTATAACACTAAGTAGTTATAGTCATTGCTATTATACGTTTTACTTTTATGTCTGGATCTAGTTGGTCCGTTATCACAGTTCCCAAATATGTCATTTTGTGAACTTTCTCAACTTGAACTCCGTTTAATTGAAGCTTTGTATCGGGATGTGGGTCACGACTAAACACTAAAAATTTGTTTTTGTTTTAGTTTATTTTATTAAATTTAATAAAATTAAATTTTATAAATCTGAAAATGTTGCGTGTTGGATATCGCCTTGGTGTACGAGGAGAGTTCGGAAACATCTAATTTTTTGCGGAAATGTCCATAGTATATTGTAAAAAAAGAGAAATTGAAATATCTAAACTGAGCCGAGATATCGCGACTTAAATATAACATCTCACTAAAGGTATAAAATCAAAAGTTTTGCTTTTTCCTGTTTATTTACGTATTCCCTCACCCAAATAAAACAATTTAGTTAGAAAATTTGTGCAAACTTTTATTACAAACATTTTAATACAAATTGTTTTAGTGCGTAGTATGCAAGTAATGGAAAGACACAAACTGGCTTAGCTACAGAAGATAGCTTAACGAAATGGAGATAAAAATAAATTCGAATCTAAAGAAAACTTGAAAGAAAAATAGAAAAGATTACAAGAATTCAACATAAATGGAAAATAGCATCCCAAAAGAAAATACGAACAATAGAGTTTTTATAATTCCAGAAGAACTAAAAGAAAGTAACAGCAGCAGGAGAGTATACCAACGAACAAAAAGGATCGAATACAAAATCTACGGAGAAGAACTATCAGAAGAGATAACTTTATTACTTAGTTCACTAACGTAAAATAAATGGCATCACATCAGAAGAACGGAAGAAGGCAGTAGCAACGTTTTAAAAATACTAAAAGCCAAAGGAAACTGAAGCAGAACTGGACGCAATAACAAGAAAACTTTTACAGAAACACACGAACAAAATAACACATGTAAAACGAAGAATACTAAAAATATAGTATATAGTATAGTATATAGTATTTAGAAGTAAACTAAAGAATAAATAACAGCAACGAATTCATAGTAGATGAAGAAGACAACCCAGCAAAACTGGCAAAATTAATAAGAAAATTTAAAGGAAATAGAGTACCAGGAATGGAAAGCATCCACAATACTGCACTAAAGGAACGACCTAAGAAAATTATAGTGCAACTATTCTACATTTGCGTAAAACACCCAAAGGACATAAGAGCATAAAGTTACAGGCCAATATCACTACTGGGATCACTTGGAAAAATATTGGAAAGGATCATCTACAAACATACAGAAGGAAAAAGTGTCATAAAGGAAGATCAATACGGTTTCACAAAAGGAAGAAATTGTGAGATACAACCAGCAAGACTGGTCAATAATCGCAAAAATCGATTTCAATAGAAACAAAAGAAATCTTTCCTGCTCTAAAAATGGTAATGGTAATGGTAAATTTCGTGTTGGTATCATGTGACGTTAAGGGCTATGACGCCGATGACGTGCATCGGTATGTAAATTAGATGAAGTGTATTTGACTAATAAAACTTTTCAGATTTCAGCTGACAAAAAGATGTCCAGGATGCAAACAGTACAAGAAAGGATGCCTTAGGGCATTTTATCACCGATACTATATATTTTTGTTTCAGATTTGCCCACTGATGCCAGAACAAACACAACCCTATACGCAGACGACAAAGTATATACTCAGCCAAAAACCACAGGAGGATTGTCGAGACACTTAAAAATGACCTAGGGAGAACTGCAGACTCCACTGACAAATGGAACTTAAAGATCAATACAAAAAAGATCCAGTTCGTCATCGGTCCACAGCAGATCGTACCTACCAACCAGAAAAGAATGGCCGATGAGAGGAAATAGAATTCAGTAAGAAGAGGATGTCAAGTATCTAGGAGTCTATCTCAACAGAAGATTAAACTTAAAACACACACAGGAAGTCAAGAAAAAGGCATTGATTGATTAAAGAAATTTTTTAAACTCTACATATAGAGAAAAAGTCATCTATCGTAGCCCAAGAAGATCCAATTATAAAAGACCTACATTAGGGGGGTGATGTTATATGCAGTCGAGTGTATAGGTCAACACCAGAGACCTACTGAAAGAAGTTTGTAAGAACAGAAACGGCATGCTGCAGGTTAATAGATGAATCGTTATAGCAAGACAGAGTTTCGAACGCAACCATCCAAGAAAGCCTTCAGCACACACTACTGAGGGACCAGAAAATTCTACCAGACCACAAGAAGACTTCTCAAGACCAGAGATATCCTCACCAGAAACAGAGTGAGGAGGATACATCGTGAAACCGAGGTAGTTGCCGAAGACAGCTAAGCAGGGAAGTAGGTACGGTGCAAAAAATAGTACCTACAGAAACAGACGTCCAGGAGATTAACAGTACGGATAATCAGATACTCGAACACAATGCGTTCCCACAAAGTAGGCGGTGTACAAGCGGAACGTTGGCAGAGGAAGACAGAAGACTGTAATTAATTAACTAATAAACGTTTTTATTTTATATTTATGCAAGTGTGCATTAAACTTAGTAATCTACATAAACGTCTGCACGTCAAATGTTTCACTCAGGTGTGCAACTGGATATGTTTCTTCAAACTACTCTTTTCTGTAAATTGGTGGCCACAAATGTCGCATTTAAAGAGCTTCTCTCTGGTATGAATAAGCATGTGTTGTTTCAAATTGGAACGTTGTGTACATTGTTTGCCGCAAATATCGCACGCGAACCGTTTATCCTCAGAGTGGAGGTTCATATGGTTCTTCAAAGAAGTATCTTCAGCGAAACGTTTAGGGCAGAGCTCACATTTGAAAGGATAGCCGTTAATATGCAAACGCATGTGCTTTTCTAAACTATTTGTATTTATCAACTTTTTGAGACATATTTCACATTTAACAGCTTTTGCTCGATTGTGGATACGTTTATGTATTCTAAGCGTACCGGACTCTTTAAAATCTTTAGAGCAAATATCGCATTTAAAACGTCTTTCTCCACTGTGTCGACGTAGATGTCTCTTCAAGTAACCTCCGTCCAAAAATTCTTTAGAGCATATCTCGCATCTAAAAGGTTTGTCTCCAGTGTGACCACGAATATGTATCCTTAGACTGCGCGTGTCCAGTAACTCCTTCTCGCATATTATGCATTTGAAAGGTTTTTCCCCGGTATGAGTGCGCGTGTGTGTTTTAAGATAACTGGCCGATGTAAAAAATTTACAACAGATTTCACATTTGAATCGGTTGTTGGTGTGCAGACGGGTGTGTTTTAACAAAGCGTCTTTTGCTGAAAATTTTTTCAAGCAAATATTGCACGTATGTTGCTTTTCTTCTCTGTGGCGTCGCAAATGTCTTGCTAAATAACGGTTTTTTGCAAACTTGTTAGAACAAATTTCACATTCATATGTTTTTTCCATAGTAAGCGGTTTCAAACAGATGTTTTCATTATCTTCACTAAGTGAATCTGAAATAAAAGAAATTTAAAATGTAACTAAGTAAAACGCAAAACTATAATTGAAAATTATTACAGTAAATACATAAACGGGTAAATTTCATAGCTACTCAGTCTAAAACAGTGACTACGAGAATTTAAATTATTTCCATTATGTAGAATAGTCCAGTTGGTTAATAACCAAGTTTTAAACCAACTGGCTTCTTAAACAAAAAAAAAAATAAAGACAACTACAACTCAAAATTTGATATTTATATTTATATATTATTTATGTTTGAGAACCACTAACATAAGGAAGCCAGGCAGGGTCGTTAGTGGCCATTAGTACTTAAGCTATCCTCAACACAAAAGATGGATTAGGCTAAGTAGTAAGAAGTGGCGTTTATTTTAATACAAGTTTGCAAAGAAGTATGGCATCGATGTTGTGCATTTACCCTGTACAGACAAGTTACTTTGAGATAATCTATAGTAATATTCAAATTTTTCATCATTTTGTTAACGTAACAAAAATAAAATAATTCAAGACCGGTCTTAATGGAGCTCCCTTTTGGGCGTCTCTATTTTATTTTATTATTTAAGAAGGTGGTTCCCCCGTCGCATCGCTCGATGTGAACGACGGCACGGCGATCAGGCGGCTTAGGGGATTCTTAAGTTGATCTTCTGTAATTCCAGTTTATTAGTTGGCACTTTTTACTTATTTTACAAATTAAATGGTTGTGTAGTAATTATTAAAGTGGAAAAAGAGAAGATGTTAGGTTTAAGTGGATGAAGACGTGATTTGGTATAAAATTCCTTTGAAAGTATCAAAATTAGCAGGAGACAAGGTGAATGGGCAAAAAGGGGTAAAAAATGTAGGATAACTTTAGACTAGAGGGTCAGGTATCAAGAATGAAGAATCGCTTAACCAAATATTTAAATAAACATTATTAAATTAACATGGCAAATTAATAACAATTTTTTACATGTTTGTACACGAATAATTGTATGATCTCGCTTTTATATTGGTCGATTTCTTCACTTGGTGAACAATTTGAACAATTTCAGAGTTATTTAAAATTTGACATTTGATGTGATCACTATAAGCCATTTTGATATTCCTGCATTTTTAAAATTTAAGATAACAGAAGGAGAAGCATGACAAAAAGAAATAAAACCCAGATTTTGTTTCTGAATACCAAATAAATTTACAGTTAAATATTGATTTTTTATACTGTCCCTCTCCTTTTTGTGTATTGTGTATTTGCGAATCTATTACAGAAATTTATATAAAATTATAAGTAACTAGGAGAAATTTTTCATGCCTTATTTTTTGTTTCTTTTAGCCCTATTAAAAACTTGTATGTTTCGTAAAAAAATATTTTTTGTTTTCAGATATTCAAGAAACTGTAAATTCCAATGGAGATTGTTCTTTGTATTTCTCCTCTTCCGCATCCTTTGTTTCAAAGGAGCAAAACGATTAGTGCAGGTACTGAAAACAGAGATGCAATGATATCCAGAACAAGCACTTCTAACCCCTAATCATCCAACTCGTAGCTCAAAATCGAAGAAGGCTGAAAAACTTGAAGTTCTATGGAATCCTTTCTTATCAAAAAAGTACCAACCAAAATGAGGCTCTAGACAGGCAAATAGCACGTTATATATTTGCTACAAATTCGCCATTTAGACATGTTGATCATCCCAAGATTATTCACCTCATAGAATAACTTCGACCTGGTTACAAGCCACCTAGTCGAAGATATATAAGCCTTCTTCTTCTTTAAGTTCCATCTTCTATCTAAGAATTATTCTAAATAGTGGAAGTATATACTAAACTCATCAAATTTTGGGTAGTATTATATTTAAAAAATATATTTTAGTTGTTATACTTTAACATAACTATTTATTATATGGTGCAGATAAATAAATATTGACTGTCGGTAATTCGCAAAGTTCTATTTTATTTACTATTTAGTTTGTTTACTATTAATATTGGCTATGAGTACGTGTGCTTGGTTGTATAGTAATTTCCAGCCACTTTTATTCTGTCAAAAAGTCACTAACTTCGCAAAAAAATAATTACTAAATTCACTAGACAGTTCGGACTGGGAATACCGAACCGAGTATACCAACATCATTAATGTCACTGAACAACTTCATAGAGCCCAAGCGTCTTTGGCTGGCGTTAAAAGAATTTTTTCTTCCTTTGAGCTAGTGCAGTCGAAACTTTGAAACAGGTTGGGTATAGTGAAAGCCTCAAAACTGTTTTTTTTTTTAATTTTAATACATTTGCTGCAAACGAAGAAAAATAAATTCTTTTTATTATTTTCAAACTTAGTTATTTTGAATATTATTACCTTTGAAGATGCTTTTATATATTCATTTTTTGTGTATAAATAAAAATAAAAATTGTCCTTATAATTTTTTTTTCAATAATTTGTTACTAATATTTTATAAAATAATTTAATTATTATTAAAGTATTTAGGCTTATAATACTTAGTATCAAATAAACCTGGTTTAAACCAAATAAACCAGGTTTAATCCAAAAAACTTGTTTTTTTGGAAAAAAGCCTTGGTTTTTGCCAACCCTGCCGTGGTCGCCTATCGACGGTCTCATTCTAATACCCCGTAAGTGAGTTAACCGTAAGTTTACAGGAGAAACATTTTTCTGTTTCTAGAAGTTAATACAGGTCCAAATTCAAAATAATTTTTAATTTTACTTATTTGTGTTGTACTGAAGGTCAACCATACTTTGTTGTTAATTTTTTTTATATATTTATTATTATACAGCAGATACAGGCTATTGAAAGTAACTAGGTACAAAAAAAATGAGATACAGGCTATTGCAGTGATCAATTGAAATTGGTTAAAAGGGTAGTATTATGAACTTACTGAAATGATAGATGTTTGATAATGGGGCTGAAACTGATAATAAACTAACAAATAAATAAACAATGTTTTTAATTATTAATAAAAAATAATAATAATAATATAAAAATGCCACAGTGAAAGTATAATGAGTAAAAGAAAAAATTGCAACCAGTTAAATTAAAAATTAATATCTAATAATACTTATAAACTGAACTATTTCCAAATTTATGGGGAGTAGGGTAAATTGTCGTAAAATGCATGACAATCCCGAGGTAAAACAGACTTCATTTCTTGCAAATGTTGCCACTTTTTTTGTTTGAAGCGAAGTCGATCTGTATGTAGTGAGTCATAGATAAAACTTTTGGGATACTTTGGAGATCTGGCTGATAGTGGTTGTAGTTCATGACTAAAATCAATCTTATATTGAATATTTTTTTCGCGGTGGTCATATTTTAAGTGTCTCAAATCCATGACAGTGATTTTAAGAAATCCTTGAAAAACTCATGAGTTACAAAGAGAGCTTCCAAGGGCATTGGATTTTTCCTTGCTTCTTTTGTGAGTCGTACATAATCACTTGGCGGTACAATGAAAGAGTTTTTTAATCTTCGTTCTATCACGGAGTAGACAGAGTTACACTCCATTTGAGTGTGCTCTTTTTCTTAATATTTTTGCTCTATTCTAAATAATTTGGCAAGGCGTTAGACAGCACACAATTCCTATTTTGGTAACATCATCCATCAGAATATAAAACTATCGGTATGTCTTTGACGCACTACTCTTGAATAAAGTTTAATATAAAAGTTGTAAAGCTGGAAGCAGATAAATCACCTTCTGACTCATCCCACCAGCAATTTGCACATTCGTGCGATGCCAAATTATAAATTGTAAAATTATGCACAGCTAGTGTTGTTTTGTGATAAAGCTTATTTGCGTTAATAACTGAACATATTTTAACTGCTTGCATGTCCATGCAAACAGCGTAGATAGAACCTTAAATGACTAGTTGCTTGTCTGCGTCTTTTTCTTTTTTCCTTCATTTTTTCTCAAGGTATCGGATCGATCTTTACGTGGTTTGTACAGTGAGATATTCATGTCAGAAAAAAATGTTATCAATTAATGTATAATGTATTGCTGACTATCAAATTAACTTTCATGTTATCTTCGCAATATTTTCTATACTCTAGATATATATCCTGTTTGGTCTGAAATAACTGCTTCAAATACAATTTTGAGGTTTCTTTTCTACAATAGTGTGAAGGCACCTTCGCTAAGTTGTTAAAAAATTCAATTAAATTTTCTCGTTTTAATTTGTTACTATTTGAAATGCATCTTTGGTTAACGGTAGACGAGAATGAATTAAACCCGTCTTCCATTCCTTTTAACGAATCGTGTACCATATCTTCTTTGAGACCAAGTGTGCTCAAATACATCTTTTTGCATGCTCTGAATTTGACATTGTCGTTATTCATTAAATAGTAGTAACAAGTGCCTTGTCTTTCAGATCCTTGCGATAATTCTCTTTGCGGTCTTAACATTCCTACTTTGACGTCATCATACTGCATCATACTGCATCTTTGATAACCGATGTATTGTTCTCCGCACATTTTTCCCTTTCATTTTTATTGACTTCTAAAGTGACAGTGTCCTTTAGTATCTTCTATTTCATTTAGGTCATCTGCAACAACTAAAGACAAAATAAGCTTAAATTTTTACATAATAAAATTGTATCTGTGCTTGGTCAAGTAAGATATTTTGGTCATTTTAAAATACAGGATCTACCACACCGTAAGTTTTTTCGCCCACATTATCTGTCATAAGCTCCTGACAAAAATTATCTTGAATATGTAGAACCAAGTAATCCATATGACTATTATTATTACTATTTGTCAGATTATCTAATGATTTATTAGGGTATGTATGAAAAGATTTGTTTCTGTCTAGTTCACTTTCATTTTGTAGATTGCAGTTAATGTTGTAATTTATAGATAAAACATCTTGTTCATTACTTTCTAAAGTTTCAGTATTCATAGTCATCATAACTAATTTTTTTCACGTGATATGCTTTGATTCTGAAAATAAAAAAACAGCATGTAAATAACCTGTAACACACAATTATTTATAAAGGGGTTTAAGTAATAACCTGTATCATCTTTAATTGAAGTAAATGTTATATTTTCTTATTAGTATTAAATAATTTCTTGGTGCTTTTGCATTAAATCACCTTTAAAAACAAACAAAAAGCAGTTACTTACCATAAATGATGCCATCGTCAAGAAAAAATCACGTTTTTACACCAATTTGACCCTAACCTAATAACATGCATAAGAAACTAATAGGATACGGGTTATTACACGGCGCCAAATGGCTGTAGTAGATACAGCATATTAGAAACATGAGATTTGAAGACCTTGCAATTTTATTTCAGATTCGGGATTTACAGATCGAACAGATAGAACATTAAAAGTGCACCAATATTATGCATATCTACCAGAGTTCTAAATTTTACGTGAATAGTCTCTTGCTCATCGTCAGTTTTATCATTTATGAATTTTCTTAGTACCTCTCGTTAATTCATAGCATTTTACAAGCTTGATATTGCTACCATATGCTATTAAAAATTGCTATTTTGTCTATACTATATCTGCCATGTTATTGTACGGCAATTCTTTGCGCCTTGCTTAATTTTAGATTGGCACTCTTTTGCTGCACATTTGGCCACTGTATCACTGATGCATATGTAATTGTTGGTTTTGCCACCATAAACTCCACGTTTTCCATGAGTTGTTTTAGCTAGTATTAATAGTCACCACTCTCTTGGTTAGTTGTTTTATCTACTGATTCCAATAAAGCCTCTAGTCTAATATTATCTCAAGATATTTTACCTCACCACATTTAGTAAAGGGTAATTTTGTATAAAAATTGTAGGTATAAAAAACATGTGTATTGTGAGTGGTATAACTACTGGATTTAATTAAATATGTTTAATTAAATATTTTACTAACTTCAAAAATGTCTATCAAATATTTAAAAAATCTCTCTTCTGCATGTACTACTTGGATAATACTCCAACTTTTAGTAATTTCAAGTAATCTTAGTGTTAAATACCAAACCACTGTTTTTTTCTGAGAACACCTGAATGAACCTTTTTATATAAAGTTAATTTATGTTTTCATGTAACAAAATTTTTCTTGTAAATCTAGTTATGTATATGATCAAAAATAATTTAAATTCTGTTATTTTCATAAGAAACTATATTTTCTATAACTATGGCAACTGGCAACACTGAACGAACAGAGTGTAGAGTGTCATCAAACAAAACTGTCATGATGTGCAATGTGCAGTTTAAGAAAATATTTTTTTAATACATGTTTAAGAATAGAGAAAATTGATAGGGAATATTCTTTAAAAATGTATTTAAATAAACAAAAAATCCTGCTACATTATTAATGTTAATACATACCCTGCTCAATTTCGTGGCAAATGACCGAATTAGGTTTACTTGTGTCTGGTTCATGTTTAATAAGTTTATTGTCTATTTCTCTATCTGTTTCATTTAAGTCATTCAGAAAACACATATCATTGTTATCTGTAATCACAGTGTCTTCAATGAACAACTCTTCTTTAATGCCGATTTTAAAACAATCTGCCTCAATCTCATGGTTTTCTATTGTTACTTCAAGCTTAATTTCATTTTCTTTCTTGATTTCAAAGTCATTCAGATAGATTTCATTAAATTCCTCTTGTTTAACTTCCATTGTAGAGATATTGTCATATCAGTAAATTACATCACAAAACAGAAAACTAAAAGATTGTTAATAGATTTTTGAAACTTCACTTATAACAAAATAAAACATTCGACGTTCTGTAATAATCAACAAAGGTTTTGCTTTTGGTCTCATCTTACCATTGAGTTAGTACATCTTACTAACATTTCTCAAAAGTAAAAGAAATATTTTTTTATATAAACAAACAGCACTGTCCTTACACTCTCATACAATTAAAGTTACGCAATGTTGCCCGATTTCACAAATAAACTGGAGAAAGGTCGGTTATGAAGACTAATTATCTAGTTATAAATATAGTTATAAATATCATCGAGCAAAAAGATAAATTCTTTTTGCTCGATGCTAAATATAAAGCTTTAGTTCGATTAGTAAAAGTTATTTAAACAATATGAATATATTAACTACAATAACATTGAGTTATGGTGTCACTTTTTTGGAAATGTAACTCTTGATAATAAACCAAAATAATACTATAATGATATATATTATTTCTTTCATTTCTAAACTCTTAGATTTTATAGTATGTTATCATTATAGAATATTATTTATTGTATCGTTTCATAAATTGAAAAGGTGAATGCTAGAAGAGATAACGTGAAATTTGTTTATATTTTAAGATATTTTACTTATTGAAATTAGTCAGATTAGATAAATCTAAGCTTTAAATGCCATTGTCTTTATATACTGTTTATACTGCATATAAGACTGAAAAACAAGATAGAAAAAGTAAAACTTCTACGGTTTATGTGATTTTTCTAAGTAAAAAAATAGAAAAAGTGATTCGTGACAAATAAGTTATGCTGAACTCCTTGGATATTGGAGGAGCTTTATGTAAGTCGGTTCAATATGGAATGGCAAAAACGGCCAAAGAAATGACAATAAACTATCACTTCTTATTCGACAACTTGCAAAAGAGCGTGTACCCTAAATAAACGATCATGACCATTGTTTACAATACTTCAAATCGCCATAGCAGAGAGAAAAGTTTCCTCTTATGTTGGTATATGGATAAAAAAACAGGTGTGACAGTAAAGTGATACTGCCGGTAGAAGTTATACTTCTATACACGCTTTTGCCGTTACAAATTTATATGGGAGTCAATAGTCAATCTGTAAAATCATTACATATATAATGCTATAGGTAAGAGAGAGCAGAAAGAGAAACAAAATTAGGTATATAGGTATATGGTGCATCGTTTGCTGAATATAAACAAGTGATCTGTAGTAGGATTATAGTAAATGAAGGATTGAATCAATATTTTGATGAAAATGTATATTAAAAAAAATAGGTATGTATGCAAGGAGTTAAATGCAAAAAAAAATTTACACATACTCTTCAATTAAATTCATTGTTTATTTTGTTATTAATATAAAAATACAATAGAATACACTGCAATATAATTCAATATAATAATACAAAATTACTCATATGTTTAATTTACGGCATCTGAGAGTGGGCATTCTGATTGTTAATTTATTCTGTGACATGGCTCCATCGAGCAAAAAGATAAAAGAGGGAATGTAAAGGTAGTGGGAACAAAAATATTGTTAGACAGGAAGTGCTATCTTGAGAGGCCACTTTAAACAAGGAAAGACAGTCTCTTTCCTTGTTTGAGAAGTCAAGTTTAGTTTGGTTATGTTATTGTTTGTCCCAACTGTCACATGAAATTTTATTTATATTGAAGTTTTTTACCAATTGTGTCACTTTTTAGACTATTATAGTTAATATTTAATTAAAACTTTCTCGTCTGAAAAATATTTTATAGCTATTGTTAATAAGTGTTGGAAAATTTAAATTTAGCGCCTTTGCATTTCCGGATATGTCCGCCATCAGAGGCCTCCTTTTTGAGGAGCGGCTAAAGTCACAGTCTTGCTCCCTGCTTTGCGCATGAGTGTTATCCAATGTTGCCGTTTCCGAGATAATACTTTTTGACAATATTTACACGTTATCGCCATATTCACCAAGTTTAAAATTATAACGCAAAAACACAATTATATTAGAAAACTCTATCAATTCGAAAAATTCGTCTATCAATCAACAACTGGTAAAATCCAATGACGTATAACAAACTATCTCGGAAACGGCAACATTGGATAACACTCATGCGCAAAGCAGGGAGCAAGACTGTAACTTTAGCCGCTCCTTGTGGACTGTGGAAGCCACTGACTACCGACTAATGACTATTGACATTGACATTGACATGAAACGTTACAAGGAAAACAGATGAAAACTCAAATCTCAAAATGTTTATTAAAAATAATAAAAATAGCGAGATCAACTTAGCATAGTATTGTTAAATATTATATAGGCTAAAATTGTTATTTATCCTTAATTACATTTTAAATACATTTATTACTTGTTACAAACTGTAATATGTGCAGACTGTGAGTGTACCAGGCCAGGGATAATATATTTATTTTCATAATTTCCTTTTTGTAACTGTAACATTCTTAATACAAAAACATGGATAGATTACCTGCTGAAATTTTAATCCAAATCTTACAATATTTAGAAACATATGATTTAATCCAATTGTGTAAGATAGAAAAGTTTAAAGTTTACTTAAAAGAAAGGAATTTAATAAGGTAAGTAACTCGATATCAATTATGGGTAATATGCTGTAGGAAATATATTATTAATTAAGATATGAAGGAGATACCTAAGGCATATCACTATTAGTACATACTAATTTTTTCCACATGTTTAGCAACACTTCATTAACCATTCTGAACTCCTTATCCCTAAAATTGATAGCTTGATTTAGACTTTTGAAAGTCTAAATTATGTTAGCAGTTAGCTAAGTTAAGCATTTAAATTTGTTGTAAAGTACTATTTTAAAAATCACTAGAAATATAATTACTTTAATTTTGACTATACACTAAGTATATAAAAATACCATTTTAGCATCTGTGATTTATCAAAAAGATATGAAAGCAGCAACACAAATCTCTTTATGATAATTAAATATGAAATGGATAGAAATTTCATAAAAGTACTCAATATTAATGGTATTTATTGGATTCCTGCAGAGAAGCTCAGAAATCTTATCCTTTCACTTAATAATTTGGAAGAACTTCAGGTTATTGATACAAAGTTAGGATTTTTAGATGCAGATACTGAAGCATATCAAAAGGTAAGTTTTTTAACTTTTATAGTTTCCTAAATAAAGTGGAAATAAAAAACCAATAGAAAATAGAGAAAAGATAAAATACTTATGCAGAAGTAAAAAACTTCAAAATTTGTATATTGGTATAAAAACATTTAATTAAAACTTGTTAAAAGTGTAGTCCAAAATTTATAGTTGGTCTGTGTCATTTCAACTGAAAAGAACACTAGCGTCTAGACACCATACCAACAAATCAGGCAGATCGAAAATATGATAATCGAATCGTATTTCCTAGTATGTTTGTCAAGTGTCAAAGTCAAATACTTGTGTTTGTTTTGTTAATATCATAAATCATTACACATATTTTTAAACTCATTTTTTTTTAAATATGGAATGCCCAACTTGTTGCAAAACATTTGCAAAAAATTATATTGCGCAACATATTAGAAAGTTTCATGGGGAACACCTTGCCCCAAGAGTATACAAAGTTGCTAGTAATTATGCCTTTACTTGTACAGTAGGTAAGAAAAATTTCAATGAAAAATCTAATTTAAATCAGCATATGAAAACTCATGATGATATCAGGGTAAATGTGAAGTCCAAAGAATGGAGAAAACAGTGTGGATTGTGTGATTTCCGTGATTGCAACAAAAATCTTACCTATAAGTTTAAAAACATTATGAGTTACTAATAGATTATAACAGACAACTGAATACCTGTTGGGAGAAATTCCACTGCTTTTTAGGCAATGCATTTTTACCTAAAACACATAGGTAATTTATGTGTTGCAACTAATTTAAATAATTTTAATTCTTCCATTTATTTAAGTCACAATTACCATTTTCTAATAATTTAGGTTATGGTTATGTTATTGTTCTCCAGATGACATAACCAGCACTCCGAGCTACTAAATTCAATTCGATTGTATCGATCTGAATTTGATATTGATACCGAATCGCCTGATTTGTTGGTATGTTGTTTAGACGCTAGTGAAAAGAACCACATGTTTAAGTCGAGCAAGGAAGCATTTTGCTCTTTAAGTATTAACATTTACAACCATTGTCATTGACCTAGGGTCACATTATAATTTAAATTTAAATATGTAAACCATATATTATTGATGTCTCCACTTCAATTTTAGTGTTAGCTACAAGTAAAGATAATTCATAATCTTGTGGACCTGATATAATCACTTAGTGATGTCGATCTATGAACAAAACAATGATATCAGGCATTGCTAAAACATGCAGTTCTCTTCAGTGCATTATCATAGCAAGATAGAGACATAAATAAATAAATAAATAAGTAGTTTATTTACAGTTATACCAATTACAATCATTAAATAAATCATATATTAACAGTTTTAGAATTCAATAATAATTACATACAATTTACAAAAGACAAATAAATAGAATAAATACCTAAATGACAGTTTACAGTGACAGCCTACATTGTATTTTAAAAAGATTTTTTCAGCTTTTTTTCAAAAACTTTTCAGAGAGCTAGAAAAAAAGTCTACATCTAAACCATTTCCAGATTGACACATTCGTCTTATAGGTTGATTTAGACAATAGTTTGTTTGTTGGAATTCTAAGTGAAAAAAGTCCTTGGATCTTGTGCACCTTTGAGGAACCCTAAGACCTATTCTCTGCAAAATTTGATGCAAATCTCTCATTCTGTTTACAATCTTGAAAAGAAAAACCAAATCTAGCATTAAACGATGATTTTATAATATTGGTATATTAAGTAATTTTAAAATGTCACAATACACTATATCTCTCTATCTCTTCACTATATATCTTCTGAAGAAATCCCTAATTTATAGCCTACAAAGCGCAAACATATTTTCTGAACTTTCTCAATGCTTTCAATATGACATTTAAATAAAGGAGACCAAATAGTGCTGGAATATTCCAGAACTGATCTAACCATAGAACAATACACACTTTTAAAACAATCTAGGTTATTGAATTCTTACAAGGTTCTCTTCAAAAATCCAAGTAATTTAAAAGCTTTATTACAAATAAAATTATAGTGATTTTTAAAACATAAAGTTGAATAAAAAATACCTCTAAATCTTTGAAAGTGTTTGTTGGTTCCAGAAATATATTATTTATAGAGTAATTAAACCATATAGGTTGTGAGTTTCTAAAAAAGCACATTATTTTACATTTATCGATATTAAGTGGAAGGTCATTCTTTGTACACCATTGTGAGAAATTGTTTACATCTTTTTGCATTTTTACACAGGCCCTAACATCCTTAATAATTCTAAAAATTTTCAAATCATCAGCATACAACAAAATAACACAATTTTCAAAGATTTCTAAAATGTCATGAAACAAATAAAAAGAATAGTCTATAAAAATGACCACCCTGTGTGATGCCAGACCTAACCAAAATCTCTTCAGAAAGACAGTTCTTGACTTTGACAACCTGAAGTCTGTCTGTCAGGTAGCTCTTCAATCACACAAGCAGGGATCCATGAATTCCTAGTAGTGCCTCTAGTTTTTTTATAAGAATCTTGATGTTAACCCGACCGAATGCCTTTGAGAAGTCGGCATAGATCACATCGACCTGAGCTCCCTTCCCAAAGACATCCAAAATGAATTCTTCTAGGATCACTAGATTTGTGTTGTAGACCTATCCGGCATAAAGCCGTGTTGTTCAGGAATTATTAAACTTTTTATTGGAAAAAATATTTTTGAAGCAATAATTGACTCAAAAATCTGTGCAAAAATAGAAATTTTGGAAATGGATCTGTAATTTTCTATACATAATTTACTACCATTCTTAAAAATAGGAGAAATATAACTTTTTTTCCACTCTTCTGAGAAAGTGCCAGTACTTAATGAAAAATGAAAAATTTTTAATAATACAGGAGACAGAACAAAACGACATTTATGTACAAAATAAAAAGCTTGGAATATCACAGTTATTGTTATCTACATATGACTTAGAGAAATGCTGTTTAAAAAAATTTGAAATTTCTGATGGATTGTTTGACTCATTGTTGTCAGTGATGTTGTTGTTTGGTAAGTCATAATGTTTATTTTTACTGTGTACATAACTCAATAATTCTTTGGAATTAGTCATATTTTGTTCCAAAGTTTTTATGGTTTGACTTTTACATTGCTCAGCTAAGACTTTGCATTCACTACAAATGTCTGAGAATAGTTTATAGTCAGAAAAATTATTAGTTTGTTTGAATTTTTTATGAGCTACTTTTTTTTTCTCAGAATAGCAATTTTCAGTTCAGTTAAATGTGATTTTGTAAATTTTGGGTTTTTACATTTTTGTTTTGGTACATATAAATCTATGCAACAGTACAAAATATCATAAAAACTGGATATTGCTTTATTTACATCTGAAATATTGTCGAGTAAGTTGTCCCAGTTTATATTACCTAAAAATTGGTTTATTAAAATATAATTGGCCCTATTAAAATCGTAATAATTTATAATCATATTCAAGGAACTCAGTTTTATCACAATCAATACAGAAAGGAAGTGCTGGATAGTATTTATCAGTTTAACAAAGGAAAATCAACACATTTGACATTTACAACATTATTTGACAATATTAAATCCAAATAACCTCTTAAAACATTCGATATTGTATTATTTTGAAATAAGTTAAAATAAGCAATAAAATTTGACATACACTCAACAGATTCTGTAATATTACCAACTGGTCTTGATCCTAGATCTTCTTTCTCCCAAAACTATGTTTGGTAGATCAAAATCACCTACTATATAGGACATTGAAAAGTCATTATTTTGAATAATATCAGTTGCCATAATAAAGTCCTCATAAACGCTTAATGGAGATGATGCTGGTATATAGATGATGGTTATGATGAAATATCAACCAACTTAATAAAATATGTTTCATCAGAGATTTCTCTTCCTCTTTCTTTTATAGTTAATGCTTCTTTCAGGCAAGGTAAATTTCCTAAAAATTTAAAACTGGCAATTGTCAAGCCAATTCATAAAAAAGGTGATGTTACTAAGATGGAGAACTATAGACCAATAAGCCTTCTTCCATCATTCTCAAAAATATTTGAAAAAGCAATATATTTCAGACTACAAAACTTTTTTACTACAAACAACTTATTTAGTAGTTCACAGCATGGTTTTCTCGCAGGGAGATCTGTTGAGACAGCTACCTATGATTTTATATCAAAAATTTTAGAAAAACTGGAGGCAAAGATGAAAACACTGGGTGCTTTTTTGGACCTATCTAAGGCTTTTGATAGCCTAGATCATGTTCTCTTATTACAAAAATTACATCTTTATGGAATACAGGGACCAGCGTTAAAATGGATAAAATCATTTCTCACAGATAGGTCGCAAAAGGTATGCCTGGAGAAAAGGGGATGTAAGGTTTATTCTGAACCGATCAATTTAAAATTAGGTATACCACAGGGGAGTGTTCTGGGGCTTTTTCTCTTTTTGGTCTACATAAACGACCTTCCAAATGCGGTGGTTAGTTGTTCCTCAAACCTTGTAAATTTCGCTGATGACTCAAATGTGCTTTTCTGGGAAAAAACTTTAGAAACACTCCTCACAGTGGCAGAGCAAATTCTAAGCAAGGCTGAACAGTGGTTCAGTGGAAATCGGTTGTTGCTTAATACTGATAAGACAGTTTTTGTCCACTTTAGAACCAGCCAGTCACGAGAACAGTTTCCAGATACAATTAATTTTCTATCAGAAAACACGGAAACTGCTAGATCAGTTAAATTTCTTGGTATCCATATTGACCAGAATCTGAATTGGGGGAAACAAATACAAAATACAACAAAAAAACTGAATAGAGCCTGCTACTCATTAAGAGTGTTAAAGAGCTATCTGGACCAGGGGATTTTACTATCAGTATATTATGCAAACTTTTATTCTGTTATGCGATATGGAGTAATCTTCTGGGGTGCTGCAGTAGATAGCTCAACTGTCTTTATAGTCCAAAAAAAGGCAGTCCGGGTGATCTTAGGACTAAAGGCGGGAGAATCGTGTAGAGGCCGATTCAAG